AAATGTAATGCATGGCAATGCACATGCCACCCCAAATTCATTTCAATCAATACTTACACACCTACATGCATATTCTTTCATAATGCTGCTACTCTACCTATTCACAATACAATACATGTAGTTATATAAAAATACTTTTAAATAATTTCACAAACAAACAAGGAAAAGAGTTACTCCAGTTATCTTTAATCATTGCTACTATGGGTTACCAATCACATTAAGATCTTAGAGGCATAAATTGTCATGAGTAACGTCATAAGTGGTCAATCTACATAACACATTATCCCTCAGTCAATTCTCAACACTTAATATAGGCATTGATTCGGCTAAATTGAATCACTTAACATATGAAATGATTCAATTAGAACCCCTTTGAATCCATTTATCTATTATCTATTATCTATAGTTTTTGGCCCTATAGGTTATTCAAATAACCATAACAACCTCCTAACTCATTTATTCACCCAATTTTTCAATTTTAACCTAACTTTTAGGCTATTTTGAGCCTAAATCCTTAAAGTTTAATCATTCAACTTTATACTAGTCAAAAAATCTTAGTTTTGTATTCAATAGCCCATTTTTAATACTTCTTTTATATTATAACACTTCAAAACTTCATGATTTGATTTCTCAACCAATGAAATTCAATGAAAATAGGGTAGAAATGAAGTATAGGGTTGCGCATTGCTTACCCAGTAAGTTACTAGTTAAAGCAAACTCTTGAGCTCCAGATATTACTTACCCTAATAGATGAGAACCTCTTCTCCTCTCTAGCTATATTTTCCATACTTCTCACTTCTATTTTCGTTAGCTCATCACGTTAACTTTAAGAACTTCTTGCATAATGCGTTGTAGCGCACCCAGCTATCATCGTAATGCATGGCATAGTGAAGTCGATCTCACTTGTGTTCACATACTATGCTCTAGACTGCCTTTCTACCCTTCAATCCTATCAATACAACATCCAAACAACACAGAATACTATCTCAACATCTAAACCACATTCAATTCACTAATTACTAATTTATTTCTGATTAACAACTAATTTTTCTAGATTGAAATTCAAGATGTTACACCCTATCATTGAATTGCATCATGAAGTTGTATATTTGTATGCATATCTATATAAGTTGCCATAAAAATGCATAAACATTTTTATTGCATTTGTATCATTATATAATGGGTGTATCTTAGCCTTGAGATGTGAATATATGGTAAACATGATAGAAGGATTGAGATACTAGTGCAAGTATATGCTTGGTTATTTTGAATTGATGTGATATGTAAAATTTGGCTAAAATAGATTATTTGTTGCAAAGGTACAAAATGGCCCCATTTTAAGGTGAATCAGGGCATTTAGATGGCCTAATTGATGCATGCATGCAAGATTGTAGTTATAACTATTGTAGGCGTATATTGAACCATTGGACGTGATTGAGGCCTTTACTGAGGCTCTTGACATAAATATGTAGTTTGAGATGCTCAGATGTGGTGAAATGATATAAAGTGATCATTTTGCATCTAAGTGTTTCAATTTTCAAATGAAATATCAAATTGAAATGAAATATATATCATTAGTTAGATTATGAAATAAACTATGTGGAAACGCTTGAATCACTCAAATTGAACCTTGTTTGTGAAAATGACACATGTCAAAAGTTCATCCCTAGTATATTGTCATAATCGCATTTGCTGTCATTTAGATACTGTAACGTATGGCACAGAATGACATATGGCATACATGTCATGGCATATGTGTCCTTTTGGATGAAAATGACCATTTTGCCCTTAATTTATCATGTAATATAGTTTTGCATTACTATTCACTTCCATTGTGTATAAATACTTATATTTTGGGGTTTGAACATATTTTCTTAAGGTTTTTGGGATCCCAACAATTTTCAAAGGTATATTTCCTATAATTTGTAACTCTTATTGGATAAGGTAAACTTAGGAGTTTTATATCTCCTAACTACCTAATTGTGTTTATTGGTGGTGCCTAATTGATAATGTCAAAGTGGATATTATACTTTTCTATCTAGATTCCTCTAGTCCAATTTTAACCAACATGAGATCCCCCCCCCCCAAAAAAAATCATTCTTCACTCACTCTCGACCACAATATGCACTTATTCACCTACCGCTAAATCGAATCACTATGTCTTGTATCATCAAGGGAAGATGACTTCTGAAAATAAAATGAGTTAGGCTAGAGGCTTCTAGTTGTTTACCACATGCAATGTCACAACCTAAACAAGGAAGCCAATCCCATGACTTTCAGATTTCCTCTGAAGTTTGAAAACAAAGAACGAAGCAATGTATCATGGAAGATTCAAATAGATTCTTAAAATCAAATTATTCAAATTAGGGTTATTGCTTGGATATTATCACCAAGATTATAACTATTTTTTATACAATATAACTACTTAAATTTTATAAGGGTATCAGTTTAATAGTTTTCATCTATGATCTATTGCAGTTGCAAACAAAATTTTAGTGGGAATTTTCACCAATCAAAATAAATCCTCTTCTACTTTTTTTCAATACACAATAGGTGAGTTGAGCCTTGGAAAATCATTAGGACTAAGACATACCATTTAATTCAAAGAGAATTTATAGAAGTAATGTTTACAAATCGCCTACTAATAAGGTTCTCATATTGATAACAAGATTTGATCACATGGCTTTATAAATATATAAAGTGCAAATACAATTGTTTCTTTCCAAATGCTCTAGCAAGTCATGAATTTTGTACTTATTGAGCATATTATTTTACAAATACCAAGTAGGAACAAAGTATAAGAAAAATAAGTCAGTGGACATAAAGTATCAATTAGGAGTCCGAGTTGTAAAAGAATTTCCCTTGAATCACAGGGTATACAAAGAAAAATCATATTTACTTGGGAAAAAAAAAATCTAATGTAACTTCTAGACATTTTATAATAGGGTAAATAAAATACATGACCTTCCCATTTTATTAAAATTATGAAAACTTCCTCTCTATTTTCAAAACTCATTTTAATCCCATCTTTAATAGTGTTAGGAATATTTCATTAAAGATTCTAAAATACTTAAATTTTCTATTTGCAGTTATGTTAAAAATTTTAAAATTGTTAATTTGGCCCCATGATCTAATTGTCTAGTCCCTCTCACAATTAAAATAAATAAATAAATAAGAATGTCAATATTTAAATAAATAATTTAAAAATTTTGAGCTAAAATTGATAAAATTTAAAGAAATATAAACATAATTATGTCAACTAATTTATTATATTAAATTATTATTTCATAAATTTTAAACTACGTGGTTGAATATTATTTAAGCCTATTTAATTAAAAATTTTAAAATATAAATAAAAAATTTTCAAAATATATGCATTGATTTTTTTTTTTTTGGATAATTTAAACGGTTTTTAGACAGTGTGTGTGTATATATATATTTAAAGAGGGATATTTTGATTAAACATATATAACTTAATAATCAAGTAATGACTAGGCAAATGAAAATAAAAGTTTAAATATAGAAAGGATGTTTGTGCTTTGTAATTTTTCATACTAAAAAAGGTTTGCATGAGTTTTAAAAATATATGAGAGGTATCTATGATTAAGGTTAAAAAAAAAAAAGAGGGGAGACAATATTTTACCCTTTATAAAAAATAACGAGTATTTAATTAAAAACATTGATATTCTTACGTACAGGCTCTTGAACGTATTTTGTAAAATGTTTTTCTACATATTTTTAATTTTTTTGGAGACTCTTTTAAAATCGATTTTCATCTTCAAATTTTTTTCATTTTTTCCTCTTTTTCCCGTTCACACGTTATTTATGTCATTAAAATTTACAATCACATTTCAATAAAATACATACACATTATTTAATCAAAACCCTAAAGTTTCAATAATTAGGGTCATTAATCAGGGCTGAGCCTATCGAGCCAGCCTTTTGAGGCTAGAGCTCGCCCTTTTAAGCTCTTTTTATATTTTTTTAATATTTTTAATATCAAAAAATTAAATACTATGCTAATTCTAAGATTGAAGAAGAAATATATAAAAAACTTAATATCTTTGTCACTAATGAGGTTTTACAAGGAGAAGAATAAAATTTTATTGATTTTGATGATAATAAAAATTATCAAGATTTAACAGATAATGCTAGCAAGGTCTGATTGTTATCATTGTTAATTTTGGAGTGTTGTTTTTTATTAGACTTAAAATTGTTGTTGTGTACATTGACTCAAATTTGCTTTTTTAGATTTAAGGTTATGTGTGATAATTTTTTTCATATTTTAAATATGTGTTTTCAAAAAAGTTTAATTTAAAAAATGAAAAAAAATATAATGCTAACACCCTAAGAGCTAGGGTTGAGTTGACTAAAATGAAACCCTATAATATAATTAGGTTTAACAAAGTTAGTCCATTTATACCCTAACCCTAACCCTAGTCCATGCATCCCACAAGGTAGATAAGTAGTTAGGGAAAAAAAAGTGTCATGACTCCTTAAATTTTGAGAATCATATTAATAACCCGTTTATTAAAAATTAAAAAAAAAGTTATTTTTAAATAATTAGAGATTTTATAAAAAAATTTATTTTATAAAAATTTTATAAAAAATTAATATTATTTTATATTCAATTAAAATAATAAAAAGTGATTTTTCATTAATTCTTTTTTATTTCTACTTTATAAAATAATTTTGTTATTTAATTATTTTAAAAGTTCATCATATTTTCATGTATCTCATCTTTTTAAAATATTCTCTCTTATCTAAGTATTAAATTATTCTTAGAAGTTATTCAAAATAACTTTTTAAAATAACAAAAAATATTTTTTATTCTAATTATTTTTAAAAATGTAAGCAAATCTCATAAAACCTCAAAAAAAAAAAATTTCCCAAAAATAGTAAATGATTTTTTTCATAAAATAAACTCGAACAAATGAGCGCTTAATTTTTTAATATCAAAATTTGGATATCAATCAATATATAATATAAAATATAAAGCAGTAAACAAACATCTTGTGACTTGCATTACCAAAGATAAGCCATTAAACCTTTTTCAAAAACAAACTGAGTACAGTAACACATAAAAAGAACAAGAAAAAATCAGCACTATTTTTCTCTCCCTCACTGCAAGTAGTATTGCTTCCACTGTAACACCCCATTTTTTGCTTGATCCCTGCACCACGATTTTCAAGAACAAACGTGGAATTTGTGAAACCATTGCTGAACAAAATGCACCAAAAGAATGATCCTTTATGAACTCCAACCATGCCTACTCCAACCTCAGCATGTGACTTATTTCTCAGCAGAGACAGAGATTTCTTGTCTTTAACAAGAACATTGGAGAAAGCTAATAGTGGCTCTACGTACTTCCTTTGGCAGCCTACGATTTGCCCCGTTATGGTGCCGAGAGTTGGGAGCTCTACACCACAATTCGGAGCGAATACTTCGGTGAAGTCATCTTCTGATGGCCTGCAATTCACCACATTGTTCTCTGCGCAGTTCCCTTTGCATAGTTCTACATACTGTAAGGCCATGCAGCCGAGACCGGCACTCTCATTTAGGCGTGGTAGCTTGTAAGCTGTTCGGTTCTCGTTGATGATGCTGACAAGATCGTTTGCTGAGTTTCCTACAGGACAGAGATCATATGTAACAAGGCCGTTTCAGCTTTCACATATGGCATGAATCATATACATACTTGAGGGGATATTTGGTTTCTCAGAATCTTTCATTCCTGGGAAGTTATTTCCTAGAATACGAAATTTTCAGGGTTGGTCTATCACAATATTCTTGAGAATATTTTCCTACATTCAATATTCTAAAGGGAAAAATGATATTTAAAGACCTTTTAACAACATTAATTATTTTTAAGGACCCTAAAATTGCGAAAGTTTGTAAAAAGACCATGGCCCTTGGCTGGGATCAAACTTTTTCCGATTGAATTTTTTCAATAGTCATCTTCTATATTTTCAGTACACATCTTCCACATTTTCAATAGTCATTTTTCTGTATTCAGTCTTTATTTTTTCAGAAGCCACCTTAGATGATTTCAAAACTCATCTTGTATGGTTTCAACATTGAAAAGAATTAAAGATGTGTTTTTCAGTACTAAAAACATGGAAGATGAGTATTAAAAACATCTTAGATAACTACTAAAAAATAGAAAAATTGAGTACTGAAAAAGTTAAAGATGAGTATTGAAAATGTAGAAGATGAACACTGAAAATACGGAATATGAGTACTAAAGAAATTACTCCAACTAAGGACTATAGTCCTTTTTAGATTCAAAACTTCAGGATTTTTAAAGGTAAATAATATTTCTCAGATCTTCCTTAAATGTCATTCTCCCAATTCTAAAATTGGCTCTACCTGTTTAGTAAGGCAAAAATGAGTGTGTTCGAAATTTGCACAAGTCTTTATGATTTAAATGTAGAGATGTACAATCCTATATGCTTTCCTTTTAATTTCCTCAATCTGAAAATTCAACCTCCATAGCCTAGTCATTATTAGTTTGATGAAGTAACATCCAGATTCATTCTAATTAACAACATATAATGTATTAAAACAATATTAAACCTAAAAGAAGCATAATAAACGCTGAAAACACAAAAAATTGAAGAGCAATGAAATATAATCCTTCAACACTAAGAAGAGACCTTACCGGGCTGCCTTCTTATTAATACTCTTTTAGAAAAAGTCAAATCTTCCATAGCATGATGTTTCTGAGACTAACAGGAAAATAGCAACATATGGACTAGCAGATTTACCAAAAGTGATGGATATTTTCGGCATCGATGTGATGGTTCAAAACAGTTCACATCATTGATTCACAATTACAATAAGATCATAGGTGGTAAATGGATGCTTACACAAATTGTAATTATGACTTCAATTGTTTTATTTTCCACTTCATCATGACCATCTTGGGAATCAACTATTATAATAGAAAATAATCTATTTTCCTGGTATACTTTATGAAAGACACGGTCCTAAGATACTGTAAGATCTAAAAGTAGTTGCCCTAACCCTTACAACAGAGAGTATTTATCAAGTTTCATTCCCATATTGATACTTGTTATGTCCTCTGATGTATATTCAAATACATAATTTTCTCATTATTACAGTATGACCAATCCTCTAATTACAATACATTACCAAGCCAGCCCCTTAAGATTTCAGACAATTAGTAAAATATATTAATAGCATTACTTAAACTTGGGAGCCATCAAACAAGTCCAATCAATTGTGAACACTACAGTAACATACTTATATGACAGATGTCAAAACTACTTTTGCCACAAAGCATCACTTCAGCAATTCATTTCTCCAACTTCATGGTGATATAGCAACTATCTTTAATTATACATAGAAGATTTCAAATCTCAGTTCTAGAGTACAGAGTTCTACTTTTAGTGTTTGACAAGAGTAATCCTCCTCTGTTCAACATCTCTGCTCTTCAAAAGAAAAACCAAGCCATAGGCCCCCTTTCTGAGGTTGCTCATCCCTAAAAACTTTTCTGTAATCACATTTTCAGTGAAATTCATTGCTCAGAAAAGAAAATGATTTTCTTGAATTAATTTTTTAATGGATTCTCAGTCAGATTTAGTCAATCTTTTCAGCAAAGCTTGTTATAAAAGAAACTATGGTGCTTCACGTCAGAAGGAGGTTCTAATTACTATACAAATGATGGTGTAAACTTCCAATTGATTTGATGCATGTGATTTTTATTCTTTTTACTGCACTAACTACACTGACCAACCGATTTTTGCTGAGCTTTTTTGTGAAGACAAACCTTCTCCAGAACTTCTTAAAGATAAGGCAGGAAGCCTAGAGATTGCATGGTTAGTATCAAGGAGAGCATCACACACCGGAGAGATTTACTAGGCCTTATTTCTTTATTGGACATTGAGAGAAAATATATAAATAGATTATTGATGTTATTAATAACTATTGCACATATAGATTCTAAAAATCAAATTATTTAATTAGGGTTAATGTTTGGATATTATCATTAGACTATAACCATTTTTTGGATACAATATAACTAATTAAATTTTAGAAGGGTAACAATTTTCAACTATGATCTATTCTAGTTTTAAATAAAAGTTTAGTTAGAATTTTCGCAAATCAAAATAAATTCTCTTCTTTTTATGCAAAGTGCAACTACTGCTGTTTCTCTCCAAATGCTCCAGCAAATCATGAATTGGTCAATTGTAACAAATGTCGCACAGTCAAGGAAACCAATTTTGTACTTAAGGAGCATATTAGTTTACAACGACCAAGTAGCAACGGACTATAAGAAAAACAACTGCAAATCCTTCCAAACTTCACAAACAATGATTTAGGAGTCCAAGTTGCAAAATAGTTCCCCATTAATCATCGGGAAGACAAAGAAAAATCATATTTACTCGGGGGGGGGGGGAAAGTCAGATATAGCTTCTAGACCTTTTAAAAGTAGGTAAAATAGCTGGTACCTAATTAGAGGCATTGAATTTCAGAATTCCCAGCTTGTTACAAGAAACTCAATCCACCTTTTAAAACAGGATATGACAAGCATTAAAACTAAATTTATTAATGTTGAAAGTAACGGAACACCATTTTGTCTGAGCATCCTCTAGGTGTTAGCACGCTCTAAGCGTTTTGAGTGAGCCAATGGCTAACAGCCCTAATAGTACAAGGTATGTTATCCCTTCCTATAACTAGCTTCAAAGCAAAATATGTGCCCTTCTGTGTCAAGATGGATATGGTCTTGTCCTTCACAAAGCAATGAAAATGGAATATAAAGTTATGCTTTCTAAAAATCAAAGCTGCAAGGCTTTGGCGTTTGGGTATTAGAATGCTTTTGACAAAAACAGAAAGTGAGTGGATCTTGGTGATCCATATAAATAAATATCACCATATGAGTGGGAGAAACAAGGAAGAATGGGCAAATGTAAAATGCTCTGACATAATAAGGTATGGCACTGTGGCTTCCAAATGTCAAAGGTTATCTTTCTGAGCAGTCCAGGGCTTTCATTTGTCAAAGAGTATTATTCCTAGTAACTGATATTTTTGCTAATTTGGAAACTGCAGTATCTTAGTGCATGCTTTAAAGTTATCATTCTATCATGACCATTTCTTTGAAACCTAAAGGTGAAACATTTGCAAGCAGTTCGCAAAAACAGGTTCCTTTGACCAATAGGAATAAGCACAGATGAAAATGTTGCTACATCGTCAGCTGCTTATATATCTAACTCAAACGATTGAAAAGAAAAACAGGAACCTTACTAAAGTTTCCAAGCTTCTCCAACAGCAATAAAACAAGCTAAGAGTCTATAGTGAACTTCATTAATTATGCAACCATCCTTAAAATCTAAGAGGGGACAATGATCGAAGCTTTCTAGAAAGAAAAAGTCTCAAGAAGCAAATATATACTCATCATTCATAACATGCATAAGTCACCCTATTGTCAGGATCTGAAAATGTCACTTTTAATTCCAAGGCGACAACAACAACCACAATGCGCAAATACAGTGTAGTAACAGCACTACAGTGTTCTATAATGCACACATTGTGTACTAACTAGTCTAATTAACTCCAGAAATCATCAGAACAAGCTAGCAGAAATAATGGAATTTTGACAAGCACAGATAGGGACAGTTCAAAATGTTCAAAAATTGAAGGAAAAAGAAAAGACAGTACAAGTACCATGATGCTTTGAGTAAACAAGAGCAGCCCACAACAGATAACAGAAAATGCAAAGCTCATAGCAGCAGAGCTTCTTCATCGTCATCACTTCAACAGGTGAAACAACGGGGTTTAAACTTTGAAGATCTATCAGGAAAATGAGACAAAAGGCAAAATGGGAAAGCGAAAGCAGCAACCTAGTTTGCGAGAAAGGGATTCTACGAGCTTTCAAATGCGATAAGAAAGAAAGAAATGGGAAATGGAAACAAGATTGAACACTGATGAAAAGGGACTAAAGGAAGGGAGGAATTAGGAAAGTGGTTTGATTGGGGATAGTGCTGCAGAAAATAGGGACAAAAGGTCCATACTTGCGGTCCCCAGTAGCCGCTGTGTCCTCACGAAAACAAATTAAAATCACTAACTTTATAGTCCCAACATTAGGGAAATATATTCCAGACAAGCTTGGGCTTGCATACTGCAAAAATAAATGAAACCCAGCTTATATAATTGTGTTATGAACTTAATTCTTTTTAATCACAATGACAGTATATGATACAATGTAGACAGAATTGACCTGAGTACCAAATTTTTTTTTAAAAAAAAAAAGCTTTACATATTATCTTATTCTTTCATTAAAAAGAAGGAAAATATCTTCCCTTCATGTTAATTATTTGATTGTAGAGAGGAATTTTATGGAAGAATTACATTCAAATACTTAAAAAGATACTTATTTATAAATGAGGATCAATAAAGGATGGATTGTGATTAAAATAAAAAATGAACTTTTTTTTACTTAAATGAAACTTATTATTAATCTTTTCATGTAAATAATTATTATTTTTTTAAGTTTCTGGACGTGATTCTCGCAATTTTCTTCTTATATGCTGAAAAGTCGGAGAAAAGCTTGAAGAATTCCTTTTTCTTTCTCAATCAGTGAGTGTGAGGACCCCAAATTCTCGATTATATTGTTGTGTCCAACTGTGCAGAAAGTAGGTATTACGTGGGACCGTATGATGTGCGAGAGAGAGAGATTTCTCTTCACACCTGAACCACAGTGTGTTTTAAAAAAAAAAAAACAAAAGTCAAACAATAAATTATACTTCCTTCATTTAAAAATATAAAATATTTTTAATTAAATTTTATTCTCTCAATTGAGTAATTATTTACTTTCAAACTAACCATATCTTTTTATATTTATTTTTATTAAATACCATACAATAAATATAAAGTCATTCATCAATAAGAATATTTTTGAAAAAAAATAATAATTACACTTCGAAAGACTAAAAATACATTACATTTTTAAACATCCAACTCCTCAAAAAATATTTTATATTTTTTAACAGAAAAAATAATTAATAAAAGTTACAATTCATAGGTTAACAAAGGTAAAGGAAAAAAAATAAAAGAATACTAGAATGTGTTGATTAATATGTTTCATTGACATTAAGGTAAAATAACAGAGTATATGTTGAATGTCATGCATGATGACACTTTCTCCTAGGGCAGACTATGGGAGCAAGAAATTTTCATTGTACATGATAATCTTCAAACCTCAAACCTCACAACTTCAAATGTCTTTTAACAGATAGATTGACGGTATCTATCATCCAGTGCAAGACGTTGCGAAAAACAAACATACAATGTTTTTTTGATCCAACATTTAAGATAAAATAGTTTGCAAGGAAAAAAATATTCAAGATAAAATGTACCTTATTTGAAGAGCTTTCAAGCTCTCTCCAACATGAATATTATATACAACATATAACAAACTACAATCCAATTTTCCTTGCAAATTCATTATATTATCCTATCCCTCTCTTTTAAACTTTATGATTCTTGTTACAATATTAGAAACCAAGGTACTAAATATTGAACCAATCATTGAATTGATTAAGAAAATGTTTAAGAGTCAGTGATCCAACTAAAAGTCAACCTAAAATTAAATTAGTAATTATTAAAATAATATATTTTAATTTAAATATACAAAAATATTAATGCATAATAAACTAAGAAAAATAGTAATATTCAAATAAAAAATTGCTATCCATAAAATCTTAGATATGTCTTATATCATTTTTAACAATAATAAGATGTAACATCATTAATATTAAAAATATTAATTAAGGGATTTAGATTTGATTTCAGGTTTAATATTTAGAAGAAAAAATGGAGAAGAGGAAAGTAAAAAATAATAAAAGTAACCTGCCTTAATCCATTAACTCACTGGGTTGACCAGATTATCTTGGGTTTACAACCTCCCTGGTCCAACTCATCAACTAGATCAACCTAGTGGCTGGTCCAATTGATCGATTCAGTCTAATTTTTGTACCATGTCTAAAATTAAAATATGATCCCCCACATGTTAACCAAACACTGATCATGAAATTTAGTAGCAAATGTTGGACTAGGACCCCACTTGCATCTAATGAAGATGTGGATTATTGATAACATTGTGGTTCAAAATGGACATCAGATCATTTCTTAATTCTTCCAATGTAGCTCTAAGTCTACCTATGGTGATGGAGTAATGTACCATTATTGGTTCTTAAAAATGTTGACCTTGGAATCTGATAATTACTTTACAAAGGAATATCTTTTGCAAATGGGCTCAAACGGACCCAGAGGTAACATATGCTAGTGGGCCAGGTATTCACAAACGAAAAGTTAAGTGTGAATGAAGGTGAAGTAAAGGAGCTGGTAAATACGAGTGTGAAGATTTTTTTAAAGGGTCTTTCTAACGTTTTATTTCCCTCTAGCTATTGTCCTTGTGAAGGTGGAGTTTCTCCTTCTTTCTATGATTATGTACTGTCATTCCCTTATTTCAATTTCAATATTCATGTAACTTTGTTGTCTCCTTTAATTTGTTCTTGAAACTATCATTTGGATTGGAATTATCATTAAGATATATAGTTTAGCTGTGCATTATCATTTTAGTAAATTTTTGAGTTCATAACATTCTTATCCTCCAAATTTATGCAATAAAATAATCTATCCAATAATTATTGTGGAGGTTGTAAATTCATAGGTCTACCAACACTCTTTTTAGCTTTATCTCCAACTTCCTTAATTCAACAACATTGCTGAAAACCCTATTCTGAGATTGTAAGGGATACTTGTATATATATAAACAAAAAATAATTGTCATCCCCAGCTACCCAAAAAATAAGTTGAGAATACTTCCATATACATCATAAGTGTAGTTGTATATGTATATAAAAAAAATAGAATGCTAGTATCTTTCAAGTTAGATTAGGGTTCTTGCACGCTTACTCTTGCAGATTATATGTAGGTGCAGCTTATCTGCTGATATACACAAGACTGGTTTTACCATTCTATTCAAACAATTATTGTACTCCAACATCATCTACAAGATCTATCAATGTGGTGAATCAATCTCAACAGTGAATTTTTTTGTCACTGTCATTACCTTTATGACAAACTTCTAATGATATAAATGATCTAAGCTTTGCATATATCATTCCTTCTATTATGGTTCTTGCAATTGTATTTCCACTCTCATACTTCATACTACTCTCAACAGTGCTCAAAAATTGACCCCATAATGTATGAAAGAAAATAATTTCTATGTTAGAATTACTTGCCATCTCTCTTGTACTAATTTGCAATGAACAAATTAATCTAAGAAAATGTTCACATATAGAAACCCAACTTTTATTTTATACAAATGAACATTCAATATAAACAAGTGGTGTTTGTTACTTATGAAGATTTTAAGAACAATTGAACTGACAAAACCTCTAAGAACATGAAGTGAAAAAAGACTTCGGATAATAGGCTTATTTATTTTCTTCTTTTATATTCAATGTAAAAACTATGAGAGCTTAATCACATGTATTTAAAATGGTAAGAATGCATTATTTTAGAACTAACCTTGGGCTCACAAATCCTTTGATCTTAAGTGTCAATTATTAGAATGCACCTAAACTCATTATTCCAATTCATACTTGATTTGGCATGATCCACATGTGTTTTGGTTATCCTTAGTGTATGATAGGACTTAGTAGATCCAATTTAAGCATGGACTAGAATGAATCTTGCTTAAATTAGACCATAGAAGTTAGAAACTATACTATAATTCATTCTATGCTTGAGTCATAGTGATCCATGCATGTTTTGGCAACTAAGTATGGGAATTGTCTTGGAGATGCTTTTATGTTCTAATTCATGCTTGAGTGTACTTTATACTCACACTTGAATTGTCCAAGTATGTCAGCTTGAGTTTGCATAAGACATTCCACACCTAGATCAAGTTGATCTATGCTTGAAATGTGACCTACTTGTCTTGGGTTCAAGTTTGACCTTAGTAAGCCTTAGAAACAAGCAAGCCAAAATTAGGAGTATTCACGGGATAGGATAGGATTGGGACACCCTTGTCTTGTGTCCCATCCTAAAAAATTATTGGGATTAAATTGTTTTCCCTTGTCTCGTCTTATCTTGAAATTCATCATTTCCTATTAAGAATTGGGACAAGATCGGGTTAACGTCCCATCGTCTTGTTAAAGTGGACAATGTGGGAGAAAAGCCTAGATAATAACTTTCATTAATTAAAATTTTAAATCAGATAACTTATTAAGTTTAAAACTAAAACAATACAAGTACATAAATCACAACAATTATTGAATGACATCAATCACAACTACAAATGTACAAGTTAAAGTCAAGTATACATAAAACATAACACATTATGATAGAAATTACAAGTGATCTCTAGACTATAAAAGCAACAACAACAGACAAACTCAACACAACATCAAGTCATTGTTCTTTTTCTTTAGTTATAAGCCAGTAACTTTTCCTAAAATAAAGCAAGAAATACGATATAAACAAAAGTTATTAAATAGGTAGATATAAGAATAAATTATATTAATATAATTAATATATTATAAAGAAAGATATTAAGATGTATTTCTTACTCTACATCATTAAAATTATCAATATAAAAAAAATTTTAGTTTTAAATAAGAATAGCAAGTATTGAAATTATAATTAATATAGGTATAAATTATATTAATATAATTAATATATTTAATGTATATTTTTTAAAAAAATAATATATATCTATATAATATTTTGGGATAAGATGGGACATTTTGAGGGTAATCCTGTGTCCCATCCCGTCCCGAACTCCTTTCCTGTCCTATCCTGTAAAGTCTCGTCCCGATTATCTTTGGGCTGAGATGAGACCTGTCTGGATATGTTTGGGACGAAACTGAGCAAATTAAGATAGGTACAAGTTGAACACTTCTAGCTAAAATCAAGCATGTTTTATTGTTTTCCAAGCGTGTTTTATATAGAGAAGCCTGGTGCTTTTGTCATCCATTCTACACTTAAAAATCATGAGTACATATGCGTGATTTGTCACATAGAGAAGCTAGGTGCTTCTATCATCTAAA